AATTACAAGTGAAGCAGATTCTAGTGTTTTTCAAATAGCAAATTTGCTAAAAGTAGTAATTCTGTTGGGAAATACAGGATGAGGTTGTGTTGTTAAGGGAATTGCAGTCAACTGTTCTGTGATTTTTTTTATTTTTATTTTTAAAATTTTTTTTGAGTGAATATAGACTAGGGAAGCAGTTTAAACTTGACTTGTGAGGAGAGGCAAGGTACAAACAGATACTGAACACCTTCATTGGCATGGTACAAAAACCTAATCAGACTCATGTTTGGCATGAATGCTTTGTATAAGTTTTGTGTGATGCTAAGAAGTTCTTCGCTTTCATTTCCTGATTTGCTCTGTAGTACACTTCACTGTCTGGAATTATTTTCTGTGAACATAACCCTCAGAACCTTTCACACCAGCATTTTCCTGGGCTATGTTGGCCTTGAAAGACTCCTAAAAATTTTCAGGAGCATTTGAAAATCTTCCAGCTTGAGTGAAAACACTGTATTTATAGACATCTTATTGAAAAACTAAAAAAATATGCACTATTGTGAGCTACAAAAATTACTTGAAAAAATGCTAAAAGAAAATAATAAAAAACAGGACAATGCATGTGACTTGTGCTGCTTTTCCCTTCCAAAAAGAAACAAACGAAAGCTCTTTGACTTTTAATGAGAATTTTTGGCCCTAATTAAAATACGTAGGTATTTTTATAGTTATCCAATAGCAAGGTAAAATGTGTTTTTACTAGAGAAGCATTTAAATTATTTGTCATGTTGCTTATTTCAGCTTTTCTATTTTCAATCAGAAATTGAGTTCGAGTATTTTGTCTAGTTCTGTTCTATGGAAATTAAAATGTGTAGGCAATTCTAGCCCATATTAGAAATTTTTTTGATCAAGATGATACAGCAGTTTTACTGCTACATAGTATCTTGTCTTTATGTATAGTATCTCGGTGTGAACTGGGTCTGAAAGTGATATATTCCTTCAGAAAGGGTGGAAAGTATTCCTCCTATGGTACTGTGCAGTGTTTCAGATGAAGCACAAGTAATTATAATGAGTAGCTGAACACAGAAGAATTGGGAAAAGTGACTGAGCCTATGTAGGTCTTTGTGTAGTCTTATAAAGTGTATGTGTGGCTGCATAGCTAATGTTTTTGGGGTGGTTGTTTTTAAGATTAAATACCTTTAGCAAGATGGATCAAGGGGTAACAGAACACATATCTGTGAGGCAGTTTGTTACAAAGGTATATAGGAAAGCACTGTTTCAAAAAAGTTGAACTCCAAGGCGTCTTCTACACGTAGGTCTGTCACAGATAGACGTGGATTAAAATAAAAGATTCTGCATGTAGAACTAATGTAATTTTTATGTAAGAACTTTGACTTCTGGCTTCCTTGTTCTTCCCATTTTACTGTTGGAATGGCCTGGGAAAACACAATGTTCACACTTACATTGAATCCCTTTTTGAAAGTTCAACATAACTATAAAGCAGCTTTTCACCAGTGAAAACAAACTGTTTCTCATATAAGAAAGTGAAGCTCACAGAAGAGAATGAAGGTCAAAAGGTAAATGCAACTTCCTGCAGCAAACTTTTTTTGATCTGATTGCTGTTCAGGAGATGAGCACAGCTCTCCCTTGCAGTGTACATCGAAGCAAGAGATGTCATGTAGCTAAAAATATCCATAAAACCTTCACCAATATGCTTTTACTTTCTGACTTTATTTTTTGTGGTTTGTCTGCATTTGAAATTTTCTGCGAATGGATCCCTTCTATATTGTTCAGCAAAAAAAGGGAAAGGGATGTGAAAAGTGAAATGAAGGAACATGATTTGGTAGGAAAATTATTATGCAGTGACATAGAAAAAAGGTTTGGAGAGAGATATGAAGAAAAATATCCACAAGAAATCAGAGCTACTAGCAAAGAAATAGTGTCAGAGTTGGAAGTAGTAAAATTATTAATTTACATTGGTTTGGAAGTTCTTTCCATTGATTTAATCATAAGCTCTCCTGATGCATTCTGATTCTGCTGTTTTCACTACAGTCTGGCTCTAATTAAAGCATGGAGATTTGATTTCAGAACCTGATTGTTACCTTGAAGCTGTTCTTCTGGACTCTGTTAATGGTTTGTCAAAACCTTCTTTAGTATGCTGTACTTTACAAGAAATCTAGTGAGAAGCAGTTTCTTGTTATGGGATTTTGGCATCTGTTCTTCATACTCAGGAGCAGAAAGTGCCGAGACCATGAAAAGAAGCTGGCAATCAGGTTAGGTAAATGGGAGGGAGACACATTTTTCCTATATAGAGAACATCCCTCTTTTCCCCTGTTCAAGGCGTGCAAATGTTACTGGCAATAAAATGGATGTTTCAGTAAAGCACCCATGGTCTTTGTCTCTGGGGACACAAAATTAACTTCTTATGTTATACAGGTGGTTCCTTCATCAATGTCAGTTCATAGCATTTAGCAAGCATATGTGGGAACTTTGAGCCGCCTGTGCTCTATTACTACATCGATGGAGAAAATATTCGTACTTCACAGACTATTAGAGAGAAACTACTTATTATTCTTAAAGTGTAATTGGGGGAGTCTTTGTTTTGTTACAGAGGGTCATGCCTTGGAAAAGACTTCTTTAACAAGAACGAAAAAAAGAAGAGGGAGGAGTGGTGACTTTGGACCAAAAATGTTATTACTTTATACTTTCTTCTCAAGATAAGTGACTGAATAAGTACTATCAGTTTTCCAAAACAGAAATCACAAAATGAATTGATTTTTTTTTTTTTTTCTTTTTTTCCCCATGAATCCAACCACCACAGCCTTTAATGATACTGTGGCTTTCCTGGCTGGATCCAGAGTTGATTTTAATTTCAATTACTGATTTTACTTTTATTTGTGAAAGTCACAGATTTTTTTTGTATTTAGCAATAAAAGGGTGCATGAAGAGATCATAGCAGAATTGTGATTAAATTCTTAGTCTAAATTAAGTGAAACAATGCACATGTCACTAAAACTGCTTCTTTTATTCTCTTTAATTTGCTGTACCTAATTAATTATAATGTACAGGCAATAAAAATCCCCAGCTTTTATTATTAAGCTTTGTACATTAGGGCTTTACTCCACCACTTCATCTCACTTTGAACAGTGCCTTTACACACAAGTAATTCTACTGTTGCAGTGATTTGGATTACTTATATGGCGAGAAAGTATTCAGGGAATGAGGATGTTAGACTTGACTAATGAGATGAGGTGCTTTGGAAATGTTTAAGTAGGTGGGTAGGGTAGCAAAGATTTTACAGATGTATCATGGAGAAGTTAAAGCACTCATTATTTGAAAAGCAAAAGATGAGTGCCTTCAGCTTAGAAAGGCAACGCGAGACTCATTCTTGAATGCTTCCAGCATTGGTCTCGCTCTGTTTGTTCTGAAGTGGGAATCCAGCTGATGATCATTGAAATCAAATAAGCTGTCCTTCTTTTCACATTCATAGCATATTGAATACATTATGGAGAAACTGTTATGACAGTTGTATTCATCTGTTACGTTTTTGGAAAACGGAACATCTCATTCTTCTGTCCTTTTTCCTGTGTGCCTGTAGGCAGACATGTCATTTCACTTACTTGAACTGCCTCATACTTCCGTTATCCACATAAGTTTAACTGGCTGCCTGAAAACTTTCACTGCTAATGGTGGCTATTTAGAAATATGATGGACTGATAATTAGAGCTATTCAGGCAATGTTCCCTTTTAAATCTAAAGCAAGATTGGTCAAGTTCTAGCAGTCTTCTGCCATGCTTACTAGCTGTGTAAGGCTTTGATTTAGGCTCTGTCAGAGGTGGCTGAGTGTTTTCAGTTTGCTTTGGTTTCTTTCAGAGCCTTTGGCACAGTTCTTGGTTTCTTGGATTTTCCATAGCACCATCTTTCTAAAAACACCTTAGTAGCTCTTGAAATATGTGCTGAGATTATCATCCTTTTTAGCTTTGAATTTAATTTGTGGTGCAAAGTGATAAAAATACAGACCTTTATTGTTAAGATTTCATAGTAATGTAGAAATCTCTCCCAGAGATGTGGCAACTTTAGCTCAGTCTGTGGGGATATGTTGCTGTTTTCGCCAGGTTTCCTGGGGTTTCGTTATGGAAAAGGAAATCCAACTTTATATGCAATTCTGATGATAGAATGACTTAAACATGTGCTTGGAAAGGATTATAACTAGTATGCTTGAGGTTCAGACTGCCCTACAGCTATCCTTGCTATTATATACCCTACTCTTCTTAGGATTCTCATTTTCTTCTTTAGGTTAATTCATAGTATTTCTGTTCATGCATAATCATGAAGTTTTGCACATGAAATGTTAATGAAATGAAAAGTGTGATAGGTCCTCAAAAAAGCACTGCATTTTCAAAAAGCAGTTTCGACGTGACTTCTTTAATTCTATATGCAAGTATTGGAAGAACTGGCATCAGGTTCCTGACTGCATTTGAAGTGTCTCCTTCTATAGTCTCTTAAAGAATGGGAGAGTAATAAGGGTTTAAAATTGCATTATTAGGGCTCACAGTTCCTAGAAAACTAAAAGCAGGATATAACAACTGTACTGTTAACCCTTCCAAAACAGTTATTCAAAAAAAAAAAGGTAAACAAAAGAATGACCACATACAATTTATTTTTTACAACAAGGGGTGTGTGTGTGTGGTGCACTAAATAAACAATATGTAAAATAATAAAATCTTTAATAGTCAAGTTGAGTCTAGTGAAGGTGCCTCCATATAGTCATCTTTCTACCTAACAGGGTGTTAGGAGAAATTAATATATGCTACTTTGACTTTTTCTGAGTGTTATTGAAGGCTTTGTATGTAAGAATGTGTGCATTTATCACATGCTTCTGTAACAGCTCTCTTTTTAATACCCAAATCTTCTCAACAAACTGAATCCTTGTGTTCTAAAATTTTCCTTAAATTGCAATGACTGGGCCTCTTCCTTCTCTGACAAATTTTTAGGTCAGGAGCTATGAGCCTTTCACCTTTTACAAACTGGAGGCCTTGTTGATCTAGCTGAATAAGCCAAGGTACCTGTACTTCACAACAACTTGGGTACCCCTTTTCTTGGCTTACAGGACAGTCTTAGATTGAACTACCACATGTGGCTGGACCATAAACTTAAAATAAACAAATCACTTTTTATTTTAAACAGTTTAAGAAATAGACTAAAGAAATAAATCTATTTCCTCACCCCATTTCTTGATGCTTCTTAGTGAAAAAGGCAAGTTGCTTATGGCACCTAGAAATCATAATTTCTCTTTATCAGTGTCTTCTGGAATGCAGAGTTTCTCTTTTGTATCTGCAGTCATAGTCCACCTGATCTCTTTTTAAGAAAAAGCAAATTATTACTGAGCCTCACTTCATAAATTCTAGTAATTTTTTGTTAGATGACCCTCTGACTGGTCTTATCAGATGATTACACAATACCTCATCATCTAATGTGTTACTAGCTACCACTCTTGTGCAACAAAAACTCAGAATGCACACTACTACCCCTCATATCCCAAAGGATATTCAATAAATTATTCAAAGAAGCTTTTGTCCAAACAGTATTCACCAAGATTTAATGTTCCTTAGCTGCTAAACCTGTCTCATTTATCCCATGGATGGATATTTTCTGTCAGTGTGATGGGAAATTCACAAAGACAACACAGAAGACAAATGTGTTTAATTCTAAAAGGAGTCTGCAGTCAGATGCAGATACACAGAAATGATGTAGTCAGAAAAGTATAGCTGTCATTAAGGAAACCTGTATGAATATGTTCATAAGTAGAATTGGAATACAGAGGAACTCAAATGTTTGAATGAATTTTAATTTTGTCTGTTGACAGCTCTGTGTACCAAAGAGCATCTTAAAGATGCACAAATCTAGGGTCTAAACCCCTACAAACCGCTATAGTTAGAGTTCCAAAGGCTTAAGCTATGACAAACTCCATTACAGTGTTTGAGTTTGTTTCTTTACTGCTGCACTAGCAGCCCTCTTAATGCTGGTGTCTGGTCAAAGTGAGGCTGATGATAAACTTGTTCAACCAGACACACAGCAGTGGTAGGAGATCCCCTTCTGACAGTGCAGTTCAGATTGAGCAGACTACGGAGCAGAGCCCACATCTGATGAATGAGGAACAACATCTCTTCCCTTCGGGTCAGAGGCTTTGGAAGACACACAGTCTTGTAGCCTCACCTTGTTCTTACTGTAAAAAAGATTATACCAACCTCAGCTCTTTAGACATTGCAGATAATATTCAAATGATCTATGTAAAATATATCAACCAAATTGTGCTTTGAAATAACAACATAGATCAAATTAAAGGAACTACTCTAGAATGGGACTAACTGCCAGTGAATGTCATCTGACTTCTACATCTGATTTTGAGACATATAGATTGCAGTGAATTTTTGTGACAGTCTAGCCTTCTGATACATACATCTCAACCAGCCACTTTCCTGATTAACCTTCATTTGCTCAAGAGGAAGACTCCATCATTGCCCTCCACTCAAACTAAATATTTCATATACTTATAGTAGAAGACATAACTGCTAAATCTCTTCACAGTGACCATCAATCTGTCCTGGATAACTCTTATCCTGAAACAATTACCTTTTTTATATATTACTCCTATCTAGACAAGTACTCAAATGGAGAAGAATGTAATGACCAATAAAGTTAGAAAGGTCCCAACACAGTAAATCTGCAGATTATTTTCTAGTTTACTATGAAGTTGCACAGGTTTCAAGCCATAACCATTCTCACAGAGTGCCAACTAGAAAACTGAAGACTTATCTTGATCTGTTCTAGACAGTTAAATTTCTGTGATAACATGGTGGTTGTTGTTTGAGTAAATTTAGGCTTTAGTATTTTCACTGTTTCATTTTTTTAATAATTTCATTATGTCTGTGTTTTTTAGATAAAAGAGTAGCTTTCCCAGTAGACCCAGAGCTGAGGAAGCTCATGGTTTGAATACTGGCCATGAACCATGGTAGCACTACTGTCCTTCCCCTCCATACCTTTTCCTTTTCGTTTTCCTGCAAGTTTTTGCAGGTCTTGAGCTTCAACAGCATTTGCTCCAGCACTTCTCATTTGGATTTGACTGCCACTGTTTTTATTTCAATAGTGTTTTCTACTTCACTCAGCAGCTATGCATGTGCCCTTTCCAAGTGAATGGATTGGAAAGGGCTTTCCATCAATGATTTATTTTCCAATTGTAACAGTCCTGAAACGTGGAGAGATGAAATTGCATTTTCACATAGTCTAGAAAGTTGCTAGAGACTGAAAAATTTTGGTCAGCATTCTCTTTTAAGCACATTTCTCTGTGATTGCTTCAGTCTTCCCCTGTTCACTGTGATAAGTTGCTTAACTCCATGTTGCTTATTAAGCGTGCTGCCACTTGTAATTTCTAGTTCTAAACACTAGAAATACAGTCTAAACACTTTTGGAAATAGCTACCCTTGCTTGTGCCTACTCTGGCATGATGCTATGTGTGACAAGCTATTTGTATTCTTAACTTCACAAGTAAAATTTCTACCTGATCTTTAGAATCCATACTGACTTTCAGTACTTATGTAAAAATAGCAACAAGTGCTAGTTGTGACAGCGCTAGCGCTAATGCATGTGTCTTCCTTTTTGTTTCCTTTCCTATGTACCAGTATCACCTCGTTAGTGTTTCACACAAAGTTGATCAAAGCTAGTATTTTTCTTCTGGTTCTGTTCCCATAAGTGATCTTGCAGTATGTCAGACAATTTGCTTCAAGTTAAGGTAGTCAGAAGCATGATGTTAAAGCAAAGACTTAGGTTCTGTTTTGGAATAAAAAGTCAAATCGAGTGTCTGTGTAAAGAGAGAAAAATCACTTTTAAATAAAAAGGCTATTTCCTTTCAGATCTCCTCAGAGTATAGTATACAGGGTATCAGCTTACTCATAACTTCTGAAGATCTGGTGGCCCTTGGTCCTACTGGACTGGCTGCAGACTGGTTTCAGGTATCCATGAACCACAGCTAAGATCAACAGCTTTGGCACTCCAGTGATGTAGTGATTAAATTCCTGAAAGTATGTAAGAAATCCCTGAGATCTGCTGGTACAGGAGGTAATTTTAAGCATTCCTAGTTTATGTCCCTATTAATATAAGAATAGCATCAGGTCATTATTTTTAATTCTAATACACAGTTGTCCATGCTGCTTAATTGTTAGCATGCTCCCTGACACAGTTCTGAGTTGTGGCTGAACATGTCTTAAGTGATAGCATGAGCCAAGTAATATGATATGGCAGTGTGGATGTGCATCCTATTTTTAGGAAACAATTAACTATATGGTTGTAAGCCTTGCCATTCTGTCATCTCGACCTCAGGGCCAGAGGACAGGTTTTGTTTTCCCGTTAAGACATAATACAAGGTTTCCTTTGGTCTTGCAATATCTTTTGTATGGAGCTAACAGGCTAGGTTGTTAGAGTAAATGCTACAGTTGAATTGTCTTCCAAGCTTCTTGCTCCACAGTGTAGAGCCTCAAAACCCAGTGCAGGTTCCTGATGCATGGCTTGCATAGAAGCCTTCCAGGGAGACATTGATAATCACCTTGTGCTTCATCAGAAGTTTGCTTAAATTGATGTGGTTTGGGGGTTTTTTGGTGTTTTTTTGTTGCTGTTTTTTTTTTTTTTTCCGAAGTTTATGCTACTTTACTTTCATAATTTGGTTTTCAAAGGAATTTCTGATTCATTTTGCAATTCAAACAGCATCGTTACTAATCTCATGAGACTCACTGCTCACTGCTAGGAGTAAGATGTTAGTGAAGTCTCTGCTCTTTTGATTCTTGATTTTTGAATAGACTGTACCAGCAAGCAAGGTGACTTCACAGACAATGATCGTTTTCATGGTATAGATCTGAGACCACCAGCTATCTTGCCTGCCCCATGGGAAAGTCCATCTGCTGTTGGAAAATATTTTCAGCTGTTTTTAAGACAAGGTCAAATGAGTAAGAAGAGGGAACAGAACAATTTAGGCCTTGTTCCACGTTGTGGAGGTAAACCCATTTCCAGTCCTAAAACTGGTACTGAGTATCAGGCTAACCCAATAGTATTGCTGTAGCACTGTATATGGCATTGTAACTGAACTGAATGTTTTTTTCTGAAATGCCAGAAAAAAAAAAAAAAAAAAAAATAAAAAATTTAGAGCCAAATATCTTCCCAAAGTAGGGGAAAAAAGAAAAACATCCACCCCTCTTCTATGATCATCTCCTCCCTGTGAGGCAAGCATAAGAAATATCAGCATATGTTAAAAATAATAATTAAAAAAAAAGAAAGAAAAATAGCAAACAAAACCCTCAAATCCACAAAACATTTCAAACACCAAGGCTTAAAGTTAGTCACAGACAGCTTAAATAGATGTTTGACTTTCAGAGATGCTGACCACCCACAGCTCCTAGAAGTTTTTAATCAGTACTTTGACTCAGAAATTAAGTAATTTCCACTGGCTTTTTAAGTTTCAGTACAGTTTAAAATGTGGTCTGTGAAATTTTAATCAAGTTCCCAAATTTTTATAAATATGTTTCCATTCTGTGGCAAGAATCTATATCCAAATGTTGATTACATGCAGTAGCCTGTTAACAATTCTACTGTAAAATACCTTACACAAGACAGTGATACCATTAAATCAATGCTTAGAGTTCCATAAACTTCATAAATGAAGACTAAACATTGTGAACATGTATGACTGTGACCAGCAAACAAAGCCCTTTGCTTTGGAACTATAACGTATATATAAGCAATGCTAAACTTAATGAGTAAAGAAAATTTGCCTCTGTTTTTCTAAACATGGATGCCAACCTGTCAAGTTTTAACCATAGTGTTTTATTTTCACAACCGCATATGTTGTACTCAAGTGCAGAATTATGCCCAGGGAATCTAATGTTTATGTTAGCTAACAGAATTGAAAGGAATTTGTTTTTGTGATGTCCAGACCAAGCTGCCACAGGAAATAAGTTGGCAAATTTAATATAAATGGATCTGCACTGATTTTCATTATGCTAGCATGTGACCCATTACATTCTTTCCTTTTCAGCTTGCTTCTCATTACAGCAGCTTTCTTCTAACTCATGTGGCTGTAGTGAAGGTGCTTCTAGCTAAATTTTGATTTCAAGTTTGCCCTGAAACAGACACTGTGCTCAAATTTGGGTTCCCCATTTGGGAGGACATTGTCAGCAGTGGAGCCCGGAACTTTATTTCCATGTTGCAGCCTACATTCATTCAACATTGGTTAATTGTTCCTGTGTGCACATTCCAAGCACATACTATGATGGCTTGTGTATAGCTGCAAGGTCTATGAGTTTAACTGACCAGTCCACATTAGATATACCCATAACCTCTCATCATACTTCCATTACTCTGATGTTACTTTTTGTCAGCAGTTAACTACATCTCATTTGGCCAGCTTTCAACTATAATTTTTTTTTATGTTGCTCTGTCTTAATTTCCATAATTCCTTACAGTGGACATACTTTCTAGAAGTAATCTACAGATACTGTCTTGGGGTGCACTTCTACAATGTTTTCTACAAGAAAAGTCTTAGTGAACAAGTAATGACCACACTTAGAAGGGGAGAATGGTTGGGAAGGGGGAGAATGAAGGGAGCTATTTAGATTAGTTTCTTAAAGATCCAATAAAAAACAAAACCCTTGCAGACCTTGAAGGTAGATGCCTGTGATTTCGGCTGTCTTTTCTTTATTGCTACAGTTGCACTCCACATAATTTTGTATGAGTGTTGTTTCAGATCAGAGATAATTTCTTACTATATGGACCTGTTTCTCCATAACCCCATCTGCTTTTTACCATCAAGGGAGAGTTCTGCTCTTCATTTTACCTTATTGAAGTTTTGATTCTCAGTAAATGTCTTCTTTTGTTAAGTTCTATAACTGCTTTTCTCTAAAACAAACTGGATCTACTATAAATTTAAAGTGGTCCAATTTCTGCACTACTTTTGAAATTCAGAATAAAACCAATATTTTGATCTCTGTGTGTTAATATATGGCATGACATACCAACACTGGCTCTAAGGTAATTTTAAAGGTAAACTATATAACAAATTAGGGATGGCTCTGAGCCCTCTTAAACCTTGACTTCCATTCACAGCATCCTTGTGTGCTTTTGGAGCTTGTCAGTCTCCAGAGGAAGAAATGGATCCCTCAGATTACTGTGATTTGGTTTTCTAGATCTCTTTCTACTTGCACTCACTCACTTTATTTGGACCTTAACTTGCGTCCCTTGACACTTCTGTTTCTTTAGAAATCTTCTTTCATATCATCCTCCTCTGGCTACATTTAAAGTATCTTGTGTGGGTCACTCTTCTCCAGAGTCTTCTCCAGACTGTGCTTTGCACTTTTTTTTTTTTTTTTTTTCTTTCTTTCTTCTTTTATTTTACCCTTTAAAGGCCAGAGAACAGCTAAAGTGCTGCAGAATATTCTGCCTTGGCTATCTCACTCTTAAAACAGTTTGTCTGGTGGACACTTAAGGACTTGTCTGTATATCTTAAGGTCTCTGTCTGTATATCTTAAGGTCTTCTAGTTCTGAAGAATTCATCCCACTCTGGAAGGAGAGTAAAATTACAGTAAAATTACCTAAAATTTCATTGGATTATTTTTCATTGCAAATAAATAAAAAGATGTGTCCATGCTTACTTCAGATGAATTAACGTATTGCTTGCAAACCTAAATTGTATTATGAGTAAAATTGCATCATTTGAACTCATAAGTTTATAAAGGACATTGCTGTTTACAGATTTGTGCTTGTTTTATTCAATAAGTCTGAAAACGAATCTAAATACAGAAACTGAAGAAACCTCTTCTGTGACTTTAGAGGATAATATAAAAGGGACTGACCAAAAGTCCGTTGCAGCCGATCATAATTTTGTCATAGATGTATAATGTAATACAGCTTGAAAGTGACCTGAGATCAGCTAGTCCAACCATCAGCTCAAAGCAGGGCCAAATCCTGCTTTTTTGTTTAATTTTAACAAAATTCAAGACAATCTCAGGATCTTTCCATGGAAAATAATTTTTTAAACCAATTCAGAAAGATTACTGATAATATTCTGTCACAGTTCAAGGTTAGAATAAAAATTTTCAAATAGGACTAGTCTCTTCCATAATGAAGGGGTTCAGAACAATTGCATAGTTTTGGAGGGTTTGCTGTGGTTTAAATGAATGCAATCTATTGTCAGAGTCGAATCTCCCATTCATCTCTTGGTAATAGGTGCCATTAAATAAGCTAGAATTTTTCAGCTATATTTTTAGTTTAAAATGGTTTGTCTGCTGTCAGGGAGGGAATGATATTGCAGATATATCAAAATGCAGAACAGCCGGTGTTCGAGTTGAGTGCTTGTCTTTATCCACATTGAGTAATGCTTTTCTCTTCAGTAAGCTCATACTGACTCAGGAAGAACTAAGCTAAGCTAAGGTAAGCTAAGACTTTTACACAGACACCTAGGCCTTCCTGTGTAGAGAAATGTCTTCACAGATTACTTTGAACATTAAGGATAAGAGCATTTTGTGAAACACTGGAACAGGTTGCCCAGAGAGGTTGCAAATGCCCCACCCCTGGTAACATTCAAGGTCAGCTTGGATGAGGCTCTGAGTAAACTGATCTAGATGAAGATGTCCCTGCTCATTGAGGGGGTTGGACTAGGTGACCTTTAGAGGTCCCTTCTAACCCAAACCATTCTATGATTCTATGATTTTATTTCAGTTCAACAAAGCGCTTAAAAGTTTTTATGTGCTTAAATGCTCTCGTTGTCTCTTTCAGGACAAAATACATTATGAGCAGTTTCTAATGGTTTCAAACAAGCTAGGTCTCAGAGCCACTCGACAATGGGACATTCTTGTAGTGTTTAGAATTGGTTTCATGAGACTAGAAAGAGGAGAAGCATGTCTGTACCCAGCACTCTGAATAAGAAATGACTGTCATATTTTTTGATTGTACATGGAGTAAGTCATACCATTATGTACTTGTTAGTAGATAGAGGCTGTTTCATCTCCTCCTTTGCTATAGTTATAAAAGTTATACAAGAGTCTCTGAATAAATCCTTTTCCATCGGTAGTAACCTGAATGTGTTCTCTCACATCCTTGATTTCACTGTAATCCACAAAAAAATTCATTTATCTTCTTTTAGGTATTCACCCACTAGTTCATTCAAAAGGAAGATCAGCTTGCAATACCTCTTGAAACTTTAACTCTTTAGGTTCCATTAAGTTCCTTTACTTTTAGGTTTTAATTTTATTTATTTATTTTATGGAGATTGGGCATGGTGTCAAGGACAAATGGAAAAGCAATGAGATTTTCAAGATACTCCCTAGATGCAATTTAGAGCAGCATACAAATTTACGTACACTAACTGCTATTTGGGGCTAGGAGGTCTTTTTCAGTTAAGCCCGTTAAGACTTCTGGATTTGATTCCTGAACTTTTGCATGAGCTGTGTTTTCAGGCAAAAGACCTTTGATTTCTCAGGTAAATCCCGTAGGCAGAAGATAATAAAAAAAATTCATCAAATTCATCCAGTGGTACAAGTAGTTGTGAGATTTTGAAATATCTTTTCCTTTTAATAGGTGGCTTATTTTTTAATTAAATTGGAAAGACTTCAATTATCTTAAAGTAACTAAATACATTATGTATTCGTTTAGAGAGCCTATATTGTGGCTTAGTACAAGTTGCACTCATTTTGACAAATTTTAGGCAGAAAATTTCTCAGGGGAGTCCTGCTTTCTGTCATTTAAAAAGCTTTTATAATCACTTAGTCCAAAATGGTGATGTAGGCCGAAGTTTGAATCCCTGGCATATTGCTATAATGCTGCATTAGCTTAATCCTTCATTTTCTTGTCAATTAAGGACTTATCTTTATTCACAGATTCACTTATCTGTTATTCTTAGTGTATTTTAATGCTAGTAGTTAAAATCCCTTTGTTTATGGCAATAAGGCACCATTCAGTTTGTGAACTTTATAAAACCAACCTCTGCCAATTTTGCTGTTTGAGAATTGCTGTAAAGAAGTGTTCCCACAGTAATTACTTATTCCAGAGATGTTCACTAAAGAATGAAGTAAGGGGAAAGTGTATAAAACAATTGTACACCAACTGAGGCAAGTTTTACCAATCACCTTCCCAGCAACTACAGGGCATTAAAAAAAAAAACCCTTGCAAAACAGTACACAAAAATCTGTTGTCTTTAATGCAGTTGCATATACTGACTTTACCAATATTGGCAATTACTTAAGGTATTCACATTTAAATTAGATCTGGCCAAAATGTTGGGAAAAAGTGAGGGAGGAGAAGCAGGGGGGTTTAGCAACAGCTTTTCAACATGGGGCTCAGCTGCCCATCATTACTTGTTTTCAATGGGTTGGGTCATGGGTAGTGTCACTCATTTTAATACCCACTTAGTCACATTGAAGTAGGAATGGTGATGCTGAGATAAAGAAATATGTGATAAACAAAAACCTTAGCAAAATCTTTCCAATTGGGCATTTCTTATGGCACACTTTTTTTTTTTTTAAACTTTGTTGGTTTTGACAATGTATTTTAAGTGTGGGGTAAGGAGGAAAAGAGTGTGCTATTAATAATCAATAGTGAATGTGGAAAACAGCCATGAGTTTGTACTTCAAGAATTTTATTTTAGCAGTACTTGTGGAACACGCTTAGAAAAGCTTTGTGAAACTTTAATGAGGCCAGAAGTTTACTCATGGCAACTGCCCCAGTCACTTGAAGCATCACTTCTGAGAAACAACTAGTAAATCTGGAAGCTTCTATTTTTATGCTGCCTCAGCACATTTACTTTAAAAATTGAGTAAATTTTGCCTTGGAGACCCTCAGTGGAAATACATCACCTTTAGTGTGACATAGTTAAGACAGAAAGAAAAGAAAATAAGCACGTAAATTTTTATTCACATTTAATTTTTAGTATTAATAATGTAAGAGATATGCTCTGCTTCTCAGACTTCAAGGGCCTTATTTTTTGATGTGCAATAAAGCAGATGTTGGATTGATAGAGGAGTTCTCAAATAATGCTTCTTTTGCTTTCTGAGAAAAAGATGTGGTCCATTTTTCAGATGCCAGAACTGTTCGAAGCCTAACACTATTTTCAGATAGCTTCACGTGAATGGACTAGCTTTACTTACAGGACCTTGCACAGTGCTCTGATTTCAGGTGCTATGTAGGCTTTCTTTTCTGAAGGCAAAGAGCAGTTAAAATTGTCATGTTTCTGGCCATGCATACATACAGGTTGGTGGTTTACTTACAAATGTGTAGAAGGTTTGGCTTTCCTTGAGGTCAGCCATGAATTGCTCTGGGAAAATTTGGGTGGTAACTGAAATCCGTCCATGCTCAGTCATCCTACTGATGCAGAATGTCTCCAGCACCAGGCAATCAACATCTTGCCACGAATAGAAACTTAAAACAAATCTATTCAACTGTTAAAAAATTGTAAATCTCTCTCTAGCATTTAAAATAGTAATTTCATTCTTACTGTACAATATAAAGTATTTCTCATTGACTTGAAAGGATACCTAATATTTCATTTCAATTTCTGTGACACAAATAGATGAGTGATCTTGGTGGAGAGGGGGGAGTAATGCAGGAGTTACTGAATTCAGTGGAGAGTGATGAAAAGCAACTGAAGCTGAAATTTTGGTCTAATCCCTTAAGTCATAATCAAGTAACAGCTATTAAATGAGGAGCTTGTCTTTCAGACTCTGAGGTGATTCAGTCCTCTTGCTTTTTAGTTAAAAGAAGAAAGTTAAAGAGGAAAAGTATGCCGGTTCTAGTGACTGTTTAGCTGAAGCAGTCAATGAAGATTTCTCTTGATAAACTGCAACAGTTGCTTTTAGGGTGCTTCTTATCTTTTCATTCATTATGTCTGTTCTAAGAATAAAACTAGAATAATTAAGCCAAACCAAAAAATACTTTGTAAATAGCCAAATATTACCCTGAAGTCTTCTAAGAAAGGATTCAATAATTGCTTTTTAATATGAACTTTCTTCAGGGAAAAGCTTTGCATACTAGTTTTAAAGACTAAGCTTAATAGATGTCTTTTACTTTTCAAAATATTTCAGAACTGGTTAGTAATTGGACTTTTAAGCTAGAAAACTGGATTCTCTCATTATTGGTTTTTGCAAATGATGAACCATTATTCTGCCATTCACTTACTTGCCTAGAGTGTAATGGCACAGGATGACCTGATGCTACATTTTCTGCAAGATGGCAATTGTCAGCAGAAAGATCACAGTTTAAAACTGATTCTTTCTGTCTGACTATCTGGTATGCTACACTAGACTAAATTAGTATATTTTTCGAGAGTCCTGATTTTGAGAGCTGTTATATACCTGTCATACCAGACAGACAGATGCTCTGTCTTTGTTGTGAACTACAGTGATGTCTCTAATGAAGTGAGATTATCGAGAAAATGTATGGCTGCTGATTTCAACTGACCTGTATACTAAACCCTGAGCCCTGTGCTCATCTTTCTGGGTGAACTTTGACTCTGACTCTGCATTCTTCCTGTGTTATTTAAAAATGACATTTGCCTGCCAGAAGCATGGCATGTGCAATAGCTGTAAAATGTTGCCTAAGGATGGAAACACTATTGAGATAGTCTCGCAATTGGGTTAACTTTTCTCTTGCAAGGGAAATACTTTGCATAGCATTTGCTTGAAAACAGGCACTGTCTGTTTCCATTGCCCTTGCCTGTTTTTTATTTGGAACTGCTTTTGTAAAGCTTGGATTCATGTGAATCGTCCTCCTTTTTTAATTATCGAATGTCTCACTATGTATATTGCTTCACAGGTTTTAATCACTGCCTTGTTTTGGAAGGCAATAATGTACATTTGTTTTAGGTTACGTTATGCCAGTACTCAGCAAAAGCAGGTGATCTTGTACGTATGCAACTATATAATTTTGCAGTATTTTCCATGCCATTATTTCTGTGGAATACTATGTTAAAATGTTGTTCTAGTAATGAAAGCATAGGTTGTGAACTATAATCTTGTTGGCCATGTCATGCTTCAGATTCCATTAAATGATCCTCATCTTATCTTTCAAATGATCAGCACAGCAAATACTTAACTCTAAACTTCTGAATAATTCGGCTGTCATAAACAATCATTTATAAACTGATTCTTCTCCAGACTACTGCCAGCTTGTGGAGCAGTGAATTCAGCTGTATCCTGCTATTAAGTTCTGTGCTTGTAATCCGAATGATGGGACAGGACACAACCTGAGCAAATCTTGATAAGTTAATTCACCAACAGAGCATCTTACCTCCCTGTATTAAAGGTGGTTTTTACTTCTTTATTGAATGATAAGCAGTCAGTAAAAACAAGTTGCCCTTTAATGAAATTTCATTTTGACAAGGTAAGTGCTGTATGTAGTGAAAATTCATATTGATGGTCATTTAGATCATCCAAGAATCTGTATCACCCATGGCAAAAGTCAAATGAACCAGGTGCTGATGTCAGTGAGTGGGAAGAAGATCACTAATCAGTTTATGCAGTTCAGTCAAGGAGTAGCTGTGTGGAAGGGGCAAGCATCAGGCCTCAGAACTTGACTAATGAGAGGATCTGCAGTTTCTGTCTTTCATCACTGAACTGTTTTCAGCAAGTTGCAGAAACTAGCCATGAATGAAACCTACCTACCTGAAACTGTAAGGTGCATGTTATCTCAGAATTTTAGTATCT